ACTGAAACCTTTGTAAGTTCCACCTTTTAGGGTTTTTTCTTCTTTTATTGGGGAGGTGGTGGTGGTGGTGGTGGTGGTGGTGGTGGTGGTAATTAGGTTTATTTATTTATTTGTTTGTTTACCTACTTACTTACACGGAGGTACTGGGATTGAACCCAGGACCTTTGTGCATGCTAAGTATGCACTCTGCCACTGAGCTACACCCTCCCCTGCTAAGTTCCACCTTCTAAAAATAAACTTCCTCTTACTCTTAGGAAGTGAATGCTCTATTTAAGCCTCATTATTTACCTCTGGGAAATAAGAGTATGGTCCTAGTAAATCCTCAGCGCCACAATGCCTACACAGGATGAATGGCATAGTAAGAGCAATGGACTCTGGAGCCAGACTGCCTGGGTTTAAATGTTGGTTCCTCTACTAGTTGTATGACCTTGGATAAGGTGTCTCAGTTTCCTCATCAGTAAAATAGTAAAATAGGAATAATTCTAATAATAATAATAATAATAATAATAATAATAATAACTACCTCACAGGACTGTCTATGAGGATTAAATGAGTTAATGTTTGTTAAATAAAATAAATGAGTTATTGCTTATATATTGTCTGTTTTACAAAGGATTTTCTGCATACTGCTCACCACCCAGGCAATCATGTGGCTGATTTTATTACCCACTCTGTCTTTCCATAGAGAACAAAATATCAAATAGTTTTTATTATTAGTGAATATTTACTTAATTATTAAATTCCAACTTGGACACATAAAAACAAAAGCACCAAATTAATAAAACCCTGCTATTAAAAATAAACATGTATAAAAGCATGCAGGATGAACACCTTGTAAGCAGTAGATTGCCTTTAGTTAGAGAGAGGTTAAAGGGCTGGAATTAAGGAACAGTACAGAGAGGGCTTCAACTCTACATGAAACCAGTCATTTTTTGGGTGGGGAAAATAAAACTAAAGCAAACATGGCAAAAATAAAATCTGAAAATCTGGGCGTAGTGACATTTATCTTCTATGCTTGAAATATATTACACAGATTTTAAAGGAGGCTTTTACTTGCTTTTACACCAGTAAGAACAATTTTAACGACTAGAAATAACAATTCTAACACTTTAAATTAATCATCACTACTCTCTAAATCTTTATGCTCACAGGCTCTAACGAGGCCATGAAAAGATCTTACTCTGAGAATACGCAGATGTCACTCAACTCACCCCTCCCTGGATTCTTTCCAGCCTTATTCAGGTAGGTAGCTTACCCACGGGCTTTACACTTTGTCAAGACCCAGTTCCTCTGGAGTGGAGATTCCCAGTTCATTTAAAGTTGGTCTAAGTTCCTGGATGACATAGGGGTAGATTTCCTTATGAGGTCCTGCTTTGTCCTGACGGCAAAGAAAATATTCACATTTAGCTCTCTGAAAAGCTGTTCTCTATTAACAAAATGAACTTGAAAATACTTTTAATCATATGTAGAGGCTAGTGGCAGAGGAAAAAAAAGTCATCCACTTTTATTTTTATGAGGGGGAGGTAATTCGATTTATTCATTTATTTATATTTTGAAGAGGTACTGGGGATTGAACCCAGGACCTCCAGCATGCTAAGCATGAGCTCTACCACTTGAGCTATATGCTCCCCCCAAAAGCCACCTACTTTTAATCTAACGTACCGTTCAAAAAAGAGAGCAACTTATGTAGGCACCATTCAAGGTAGGTTTTTAAAACACCTTGAGACCAAGACAATTAGACTAAATCCAGAGGGTAAAAACATTTTAAGGCCTTGAGTTACTGGAAAAGAAGGCAGTGATGACAGAATTTTGCGAAGGCAATTAAACGTGCCTAGCAGGCAACAGGAATAATTAAGTTAACAAAGGATAAAGTTTTTAAATTTGCCTCAATTTGAGACCCTAACTGAATTAACTATTGGCGCTGAATGGATTGACAGCCTACAGAACCCTTAATTACCTTACTCATTTTAGATAAAGGAGCATCACGCTTTCCCTCTTACAGACCTTGAATTTCTTTCTTACAGACCATAATGTCTTCTCAGAGAGAGATACACGTAGATAATACTTATTTCTAAGACGAGAGTTTTGATGAATACTCACTGTAACATATAATCACATGTATATTGTCTCAAAATTCCTCAGGGACAAATATTAAAAAGTCAAATGGACTAAGACAGTGCCAAGGTGGTATTCTTCTGTTTTTAACGAATTCTAGGTCTCCTTAATTGTATTTTTTAAATTAAAAAATCCTTGTTTAAAATTCAGTGCATTAATTTGTTCATTATAGAAAAATCAGAAACTATAATCAAATAAAAGGGAGGAGAATAAACATATACCCTCCTACATTTTTATCACTCTCTCTATACTTTTTAATAAAATGGGGTCATACCACAAAAATTATTTCATCATTTTCTTCAGTTATTATACTATGAATATGTTTCACGTTAAACACATTTCTACGTTAACAGATGTGTAACAACCTCTTCTGGGAAGTCCCATCTTAAGAAACCACTAGGAACTTTTAATTTTCTATCACAAATAGCACTACGATAAATTGTAGTTAAACTTTTATGTTCTTAATTATTTCCTTAAGATAAATTCTCAAATGGAACTGCTGAACAAATGGGTATTAAGCACAATTTTTAAGTCCCTGAATAAATTCAACCAAACCATCCTCCAAAGACTGTAACTGCAATGTACATTCCTTCTAGCTATATAAGAACTAATTTTAGGTATTTTAAGAAATTCAAAATAACGGAATAGGCTAATACCTAATCAATAGCCCAGCTACTTTCAGAACAACACTAGCATTGTTATTTCACTGACCTTAACAACCTCTAGGATGCGAACTGCACTAGCAAAGTCATTTAAGCGTCTGCATGCCCGCAAAGCAGCATCAATGATTTTGGGTTCTGGAACCAGATCATAGCCAACGAGCGTGTTCATCCCTGTCAAATTAAAAAGAGTAGTCATATCAACCTGGAATATCCTCACTTAAACTATAATTTAGTTATCTATATTTTTATTGAACCATAGACATGTGATCTTGTCTGTTTGGGCCTCTATTCTCTTATCTCTAAAATGGGAGAATCTACCTTTCACAAATTCTAGATGATAAGATCATAGTGGATCTTCCACAGTGAATTAATTAAAAGAATTATGCAGTAGCATGCAGATTGAAGGGGAAAAAAAACCCCAAAAGTTTTCTTAAACACTATTTTCATAATTAGCTGGCTTCTTTTCAAATGAGAGCGTCATTTTCAACTCATATCTTTAACTCTTGGTACAATGTATGTACTTTGGTTGCTTTCGAGTAGATTTAATTGGAAAATAATCTAAAAATGACCAGAGAAATGCTTAAGGAGAGTTAATGAAGCCCAAATGAGGACACTAAGGAGATATAGAGAACCATTAGTGCACGGTAATAAACATTAAACCAGAAAATGGGCATGATTACTTTCAGCTCTGCACAAAATGACACACCATGAAATTTAAGATTCTTTTAATAGGAATGCAGAATTGCTGTTCTTTTCATTACTTCTACTCAAGATTATCCAACAAGAATTTCCCTAGTTGCAGCAAAATGGAGTCATTACATTCCTACAGGGAAGTATAAAGCATTTAAGTTTCCTGCTTTTATTTTAAAATATTTAAACAAAGGACACCAGTGACTACAATGCTAGAATATAGTCATAGAGACTGAAGTCCTGGTCTGAGATAAAGTGCCTACAATTAAAATTAGCTACCTAATAGTCTATTAGCCTAGTTATCATTAATGCTACTTAACTCATGTTAAATGTGCCATCTTCAAATTAGAAAAAAAACAAGTTCTAGCTTACTTAGACTGGACACTTATTCAGGGCAAGAAAAATCATAACTGAGAATAAAAATAACAAAAATCCTAAACTATTACCAAGAGGGGAAGAGAACCAATGACTACTTGTGCTAATTATCTAAAATGTATCGAAGTGTTAACTCTCACTGTGACCTATCATTACAGAAGTGGTTTTCAATCAGGGGTGATTTCTGTCCCCTAGGGGACACTTTTTGGTCATAACTTGGGGGTACAGGAGTGTTGGCATCTACTGGGTAGAAGCCAAGGATGCTGCTAAATATCCTACAATGCAAAGGACAGCCCTTGCAACAAAGAACTGACTGGCCCCAAATGTCAACTGTGCCTCCCTGCTTTATAGGAAACACTCACTATGGAAGCTATAAACTTTCCTAACTGCAAGTTGCATGACAATACTCAGTTTAAATGATGCATATTTTCAAAATATAGTTGGCCCTTGAACAATATGAGTTTGAACTGTGCAGGTCTACTTTTAAACTTTTTTTATCTTTTATATAAATGGAGGTACTGGGGATAGAACCCAGCACCTCATGCATGCTAAGCACTGCACTCTACCACCGAGCTACACCCCCACCTCCTTGCAGGTCCACTTATACATGAACTTTTTTCATAAATTCTACAGTACTACACCAACTGAAGTTGGCTGAATCTGCAGACAGGAAACCTTGGATGCAGAACTGCAAACAAGGAGGGCCAGCTGTAATGCTATATGTGAATTTTCCATATGAGAGTGGGTGCTGGTACCCCTAACCCTCGAGTTTTTCAAGGGTTAACTATAGTTACCTTCAACAAAGTAGTGGAAGACTACATAGCAGTTCATAATTCTATACCCAAACAGACAAATATGCCTATGTTCCAGTTACCTTTACGCAATTCCCAAGCATCAATATCTGGCTTATTGAAGTACGTCACCCAGCGAGCATCAAACTCCTCATCTGTCTCATGTGACCCATGGGAGTAGCAGCGAGCTGACTGGATAGCTACAGCAGAGAAAGAGCAATAACTTCAATGTACAGAAGTAGTACATTTTTTGTTTTTTCTTTTTGTGTGTGTGTTAAAACACACATAAAATTTACTATCTTAATCATTTAAAAATGTATAGTTCAGTGGTATTAAATACACTCAATGCATTAAGTCTTGAATCAACTATATATGTCATGGTAGGAAAATTATTCAGCAGGTCAAATAAAACAAACCTGATGTGTTGATATGAAAAAATATCTTAAAAATTAAGCACAGAAAAGCAAGTAGAATAAAAAGCTATAGATGTATGCTTATGCTTTTCCCCCCTAATGTGTAATGCTAGCATGAAATTATTAAATGTAGTTATCTTTGGAAGAAAAAATTCTCTTTATACAGTTATTTTTATGATAAGCAGAGTATTAACTCCTAATTTAAAATAATGTCCATTCTAGTTCTTAAGCAAATTTATAAAATATACTTTTCTTGATAAATTAAAAAAAAATCCTATGCTCCCCATTAAATTATGTTCCAAAATAAATTATACATCCTAACAAAGCAATGGTAATTTAAATATTGTATTATCAAACTACAGCCTCCTCCTCGAAAATTCTGATTCAAAAGTACACTCTGCCTTACACCCAATGGAAAAAAAACACTGTTTTATTAGATCTCTAAGAAGTGAGATTTTTAAAATATAACACTGTCAAGAAAAGAGTACATACTTAGCATTCTGCTCTCTGTCAATATACCCTTTGCACAGGAAAAGCTTTTCCATTTTCCTGTCAAACGGACAGTGAATTGGGAGTTAAGAAATCTGGATTCTTTCTAAGCAGCCTCTGTATGCAGCAGGGGGATGGAGAAGGAATTTTTATCTTTAGACTATAGGAGGCAGCAGAGCCTAGTGGTCAGATACTTCTAGGCTCTTCACTCTCCCACTGTTTGACCTTGGTAAAATTAACTCAAGTTTTATTTTCCTTATTTGTAAAATGGGCATACCGTAGTTAAGCAGATTATGATGATGAAAAATGAAAGCGAGGTAACACTTTGCCCAGGGCTTAGTACCTTGTAGGTAGATACTCAGTGAATGGTAGCTTTAAATTAATCCTTACCTAAAAATGTCCTAATTGATCTTCTACTTATGGAAATCATAATTTATGGAAATAAAACATTCTTCAAATGCATTTCCTGTTACATGAATTAGACAAACTTCATATAATTTCTAGTTATTTTTAAAGGCTTAACATATCAAAAACAAAAACAACACCGTAGCCCACTGTTATTAAAATCTGAAAACTACTTTTTTCAAAAACTAAAATTATCTGTGGCTGAATATGTCAAGTGCACATATAAACTGTTTAGCAGTTTCTTATCAAATTAAATACACACCTACAATACTACCCAGTAATTCTACTTCTAAATATTTACCCAAGAAAAATGAAGTGTTTCATTTCTTCCCCAGAGGAAATTAAGTGCACCTTTCCTACTACCCAGAAAAGTGTTTCAGTGGATGACTGTAGCTTTGTTTTGTCTGCTAACTATGAAAGATATGACCAGCAACTGCCAATCCTAGTCAAGATCAGTGGATCACCTTCAATGATTTGTTCACCTTCCTTCTGGGAGCCCCAAGTTACAAACTGTATTCCCCGTCCCCCACTCAAAAAGAAAGGAAAAAGAAAAGGAAAAACCTTACCTATATTATGTAAAAATGTAATACATTTACATAAACAAATATGCATTAAGCATTTGTACCAGGAAAGGTGCTAAGAGTTATATTACCTCATTTAACACACAAGTACTAAATATTATCCCGATTTTAGAAATGAGGTAACGGAGTCCTAAGGTTTAACTAACATGTCCAAGGTCACACAGAAAGTGGCTGACATAAATGTAGCCAATACTGCCTCCTTGTGGCAATATTTAGGTCTATGGGACAACACCTAAAATAAAGCTTTTTGTTTATGAATTATACTCGGGAGGGTGACTGGAATGCCTGAGATAAACCACTACGCCCAAACTTACTAAGAAAAGAATTCCCTTAATCTACAGTTCGCCAAAAACCTGTGCCATTTCCCCAACCTGCCACAAAATGTAGCAATTCTTTTGAAGAGGTCATAAGAAGCCCCCCTAAAAAGTATCTACATGAAAAAACTGAAGCAAAACGTAATAGGTTCTGAAGTGTCTAGTTAAAATACTCAAAACAGTCAAGAGAACAACCTTATTAGTTGAGTTTGAGTTAGTATGTTTAAATATGCATGCTTATGGGCCAAATTTCATAATGTAGCATACAGTCATGGACCAAGATCAAAGTTCAGTTACAGTAATTAAAAGTTCAGTGCTGGACACAAAGCCTCCCGGAACACATATAAGGGGAAGGCAAAAATAAAACACAGGAATCAGCAGAACATCTCATACTCCAGCAGTCAAGCTTCTAACCAGGAGCAAAAAGTAAAGCTCCCCCATATTTGTAGAATCCAGAATTCCTGGGTCTGTGGCACCCACTTTTCGAATATTCAGTAATATTCTTATAAGACCTATCAATATTCAGGTTCTTCCAGACCTCAGGAAACAACCACACGTCGATCTATCGGAAATACGGAAGAAATAGAACGTGGCACAGCAGTCTCTAAAAATAACAGAACGGTCTGGAAAAGCGACAGACAAAATGCTAACCGAGAAATGCCTGAAAAAAAGAGTACGCTGTGTCGCACATGTAAGCATAATGTGTTCTCGGAAGACGCTGGGGGCGGCGGTGCCGGGGTCCCCAGATGGGCCATCCCTGGCCCTACCCTGAGCTCAAT